AGAAATTTTGGAATAGTGATTGATGTGAGAATGTGTGGTGGAAAAGTGATGAAAAGTTTTTGATTTGTGTGTAATATTATTTTATTAGGAGAATGTGTGGTTGAAATGAAGAATGAGAATGAGAATGAGAAATAGAAAGAGAAATTAATGGGTGTCAAACGGGGGCTAAGTGTCACCAATACCCAACAAACTCCCCTTGGCAGTCAAATGATTCTCCCTCCATCTATAATGCCAAATGGAAAAACTGAGATTCATAAATGCTTATGTCACAAAAGAATGAAGTTGTACTGAATGGAACTACAATTTCTACAAGATTTTGCCTATTAATCAAAAGGTGAGTTACCAAACCAAGCATTCTACAAGATTTTGCCTATTAACCAATCTCACTGGCAACATTACACTGACAATGGCATGTGCAATTGGGAAGTCCTAATAGAGGACTACCAGAGTTAATAACATAATAGTAGAAGCAAGAAAGCTTCTTGGCCAACTCCGATTAGTTGATTACAACAATATTCTGGAAAAGGGAAGATCTAAGTCCTTGGATAGCCGACAGAATGAAAACAGAAACCAGACATGCATCAGACCAATCCTACTTACATGACACCGACTCCACACTTGCCTTCAAACTTAGGCTTTCAGATTTCATTGATTTTCGAAGCACATTTCACAGTCAATGATCCACTTCAAAACCAACAAATCTGTGCTAGATCTTTAATGCCAAGTGCTTATAGCAAAAATAAATTCAATTTTGAAGACCAAAAGGCCTCAAACGAATAACAGAATACTTGTTTACCCAAATAGATCTTAATCATTTTAATTTACAATCAGGTGAAATTACAGCTCAGATCTTCAATAGTGAATGGCATAAAAAAGCACTTAGCCATGGGGAAAAAAGGAAAGAAGGAAGAAAGAATAGTTTGATTACTCTATAGCAACAAACGAACATGAAAATGGTAAATGCGAAACTTAAACTTCAACATTCAAAAAGAATATATAATACCATAACATATAATAAGAAGAAAATGCATAAAATTAGTAATTACCATCACATTTGACGTGTAGAATTGAATGTAAGAGCACAAAAGAGGAGGAAAAAATTCACGTTGTAGAAAACGCGTGACACTAATCATCTACACAATATGGTAACTCTGGTACCTTCATTTGCAAGGTCGAAAGCCAAAGCCAAAGCCAACATAAACAAATTTAATTCACACAAACTGTAAAACAGATTTATGGTCCTAGTATGTGTAGTTGAAAACTCAGAAATCCAGGCATGTTTAGCATCGAGCCTCGCCAAAGAACCCTAAAATCCACATTTTCGAGTGAGATTTCACATTATTCAGGCACCAATAAAATTAAACCATTACTCAAACAAACAAACACAGACCATCCAAGAATACCAAAATTGCCCATATCCACGAACCGAAACAAGGAGAACACGCAGATTTCGAAGGTGCAAAATCTGACTGAAGGAAAATAATTTCGAACTTACCGCAAACAAATATAGCACGCAAAGAACGAGATGGGAAACCTGATTGAAAACGCGAACCCGGAGATTTGGCATGGAGAGCTGCTTGATTTTCAGATCTCAGAGAGGAAGAGAGGGGAAAGAGGAAGGTTGGAGATCAGTTTCCGTGTTTTTTGCTACAGTGCCGCGTTTTGGGCTTTTGCCTTGTTTTTGGTTGAAAACTCACAAAACGTGGTTTTCCACGTTTTGTGTTTTGTTTGTTAAATTTTTATCCATTTTCAAAAACGCGTTTTCAAAAATAGTAAAGAGAACGCGTTTTCAATGTTTTTGAAAATTGAAAACGGAAAACGGCTTGAAAACGGCAAAGAGAACATGGTTAATNCTTTTGCCTTGTTGTTTGTTGAAAACTCACAAAACGTGGTTTTCCACGTGTTGTGTTGTGTTTGTTAAATTTTTAATCATTTTAAAAAATGCGTTTTCAAAAATAGGAAAAAGAGCGCATTTTCAACGTTTTTAAAAATTGAAAATTGAAAACGGCTTAAAAACGGCAAAGAGAATAGGGCCTTAGCTGCTCAATACAGTCCCTCAATATTGTATGCTTCCCCTTCAGCTCATCCATGATGCCAGATTGATTCAGATGGCCTACTTATATTTTTTCAACAGAAAGAAGAAAGGACCCAGACGACAAAGAGGAGATACGAGTATAATTAGTTGGAGAGATGAAAGCAAAGCTGGTTGGGAACACGAACAGGGAATGCTCAATGTAAAATAAATAAATGAATTTTTTTTTATTGATAACCGTGGATGTCCGGCCCAACTTTGCCGCACCTTGACTAATCCCACGGAACCCTAAAATTTACAGCCGGATACTCATCTCAGTGGCCTTAAAGGGACTCGAACTGATGACCATTGGGGAGCAAACTCAAGACCTGACCAATTGAGCATCTCCTTAAGATTAAAATAAATAAATGAATTAACAAAACAGAAAAGAAATTAAAGAAATAATGGTGGGCACAAATCCACATGGGCCACAATTTTTTTGGACATGAAATTGAGCAGTTGCTTTGAAATACAAGCAAATCCAAAAAGCAACCAGTGATACTAACAAAAAGTTCCACAATATAGTGTTAAACAAAAACACTGAACCCTGCAATAATTGATTTTCATGTATGGACATTTACTTGACAAAAAACTTGACAGTTCATGTACGCCATTGAGTCACGACTTATTATGAATTCCATGCTTGTCAAAGTTTGGATCGATCAGCAGTCATGCAGTTGTCTCATCACTGAAAAGAAGCAATGGCTTCCATTAAAGTTCTGCTTGACATAAACCCAAATTAATTTTTAAATCTTTATATTACACCTTAATATATGCTCAATCACCCTTTTATGTAATTTTATGTCAACCCCTGAACGAATATAAGCACAGGAAGTTATATGCATCTAACAGCTTCAATGCGCTATCAGAATCAAAAAATTTTAGAAAGAAAAATGCAATCAACATGTCACAAGCAGAAATGCCACTTGATTCGATAAGATATACAACAAATTAGCATGAGAAGGAAGTATCACAAAGACGCAACGTGAAAGTGGAGAAAAATATACCTGTCCCGTAGTCACTTCCAATATCCCTGATTGTTTTCTCAATAGAGCTGATGCCATTGCTACAGTTGTTCAAAACAGCATCTTCATCCAGTTGACCACAGTACACAACTTGATAACCTGAAACTAACTTGTCCAATGTGTTTCTAGCAGTTGGTTTCTGGTTGCAGAGAAGGAATGGAAGCGGTAATCATTGGACTACATTCATAAAAACCACAAAAAATGCATATGAAAAGCATTCAGCAACACCAGATAAGGTTACCATTTCGAACCCAACATGCTTCCCATTTTTATTATCGTTGTTGAGTTGGTTTTTCACAAACTCTTCCTTAAGAATTTGCCCTCTGGAGCCAAATACCTTCCTCTCCTCCCAAATACTGATCTATATGTAATTCGAAAGCAAAAGAAAATACATTAATCAGCAAAATTCATTGCAGTTACACAAATTTGAAATAGACGACTTATTCTATCCCAGATGATTGTAAATTTATTTCAACAAGAAGCTTAAAATATGTTGCCTGGACTTGGGTTTAGGTGTCAGATACGGGTATGTCTAAAATCTAGGATAGGGGAAACGGCTAAAAATATCCAAAATTTAGACATGGGTACGTGCAAACTTAAATATGTTTCAGAAATATATTTACGGATAATTTTAGATGCATTTTTTAGGAATATGTATATAATGTGTTTGACTCTAAACTTTAGACAAATTAAATTGCAAACTGTAATAGTTCATTTAGTTTTCATTTCAAATTTAGAAATGTGAGTTACAATCCCTAACAACTGACTAAAACCATAAAAGAGGAAAATAGTAATAGAAATCATCGAGACCCAAATTGGGTGGGAAAGGGGTGCACTAGTTTTGCAACAAGGATGATTTTAAGGGCAATTTTCTGAAAATTATGCAATTGTAGGTCAATTTAGCATTGGTAAGCTGGGTGGGACGGTAAAGTATACTGTCATATTTATATATTTTATTTGAGGGTCTGGGGTTTAGGCATGGCCTTTGATGATGGCGAGGCAGCACAGGAGCTAAATATATGAATCCATGTTAGTAGTTTACTGGGATGAGAAGAAAGAAAGATGAGACGTTGGAGCTGGGATTACGTAGTGTTTGTATTTTCTTCCTTTCCGTTATTGATCTAGTGGGTTTGCTTCAGGGAAAGAGTTCAAAACAAGATTCCTATTAAGGAAGTGCGAAACTATTTTGAAACGACTCAAGAAGAAAAGAGGAATTTATCTAAGAAGCCAAAAACTGTGAAATGAAATGAAATAGACCTCCTTTCAAATTTAAAAAAAAACGCTGCATCCATTAGTCAATAAATTTAACCCAAATATGCCTCTCAGAAAAACCCAGAACAGCAGTAGATCCAACTTAATTACTGAACCTGAAGAAACCAGTAGCACCACTCTGCACAACAGGGAGTTTAAAAATCAAGAAATTGAAGGACAAGAAGGGTAAGTTATCATGAGAAGGTGCAATTAATTACAAATGGGATCCAGGTACTTCCCATTAGAAATACTGCAATACTTTACATAGGTTGGGTTTTTGGAATAGCTTTCCTCGACAGCTCTAACTCCCTGCTCTGTCATCTCTTTCTTTTTCAAGAGAAAACCCCTCTACTTTCTAACACCATATCTCTCTTGCTAAGGGCCACTTGATATTTAGACTTATCCTCCAATGCACTGCAAAGTTCCCAGCACTATAAGTCTAAAACCTAATTTCTCATAAATCTGCAAATTCTCAAGGAAAAGGGTGAAATTCATGCGATGCAAGAGTAAAATAGTTCATGCATCATCCTTAGGAATTCAGGTCAAGATTATGAATTCAAGTCTATGTTGCTCGGACTCAGGTACAGCCGTACAGATATCGGGTACGGGTATATATCTGAATGTCGGATCCATTATTTTCTAAAATATAGAATACGGGGATATGGCTAAAAAGAGTCCAATTTTTGAACACGGGTACGTGAGTACATCTTTCAAACTTTAATTTTTTTATTAATCCAAGATATCATTTTAAATAGACCAAAATCAATCCTTCACAAAGAATGAAATAAGTATTGAATGGGGGGTTAAAACGAATAAAATGGAATTTTGAGATTTAGTTTTCAATTATGAAAAGTTAATTACTAAATGTTATATAAAATAGAAAATGAGGAATTTGATTATAATTTAAACTTAAGGAAATACTAAGTTGCACTATATGGAACCCATTTTCATTTCATACAAAGAAAAACCCAAACAATCGATACAAAGAGGAAAGAAGGAAAAAAAAGAAAAAGGACAAGAGAAAAGATAGAAGAAAAAGAAGGAAAAACCTTGTGCCGTCGCCCAAGAAGAAAAAAGGAAGCAGAAATGGCGAAGTGTCCGGTTGAAATTTGGATGATCCGACACATATCCCATACCCATACCCATGTCGTGTCGTGTCCGACATGATTACTTTGTCTATTTCGAAGAGTCTGAACATCAGAGATTCAAGCAGAAGGTTTCGTACCAACACATTATTGTCTCTCTTTTGCATGATTTATTGTATCTTATTGTACATGGAAAAAGCCTTAAAGAATATCGCAAGTTGACGGGCCACAAAAGCCACTATCAATAATTTCTTTATTAGCTTTTATCTTTCTCATCCAAATTTCTGAGACCCTATATTGTAAATGTATAAATATCAAAATAATTTCTTGCTTCGTCTGTCGAGACAAGAACCTTTCAATGGGTGGAGACAGGAAATAAAAATCTTTTAACCACATAAGACCCTGTTTGGTACACATTA